ACTGGTCGAATAAGTCGTCGATCCTGGGAAGCGGGTACTTATTCTTGATCGTCAACCAGTTGAGGTCCCGGTAGTCGATACACATTCGCATAGATCCGTCCTTCTTCTTCACAAAGAGAACGGGTGCTCCCCACGGTGACACACTCGGTCGGATAAAACCGAGTCGTAAAAGCTCCTGGATCTGAGTCTTAAGCTCTTGTAACTCTTTAGGCGCCATGCGATATGGAGCTTTAGATACTGGTCCAGCCCCTGGGATGAGATCAATGGAAAACTCTACCTGACGGTTGGGTGGTCCTCCTGGTAACTCGTCTGGAAAGACGTCAACAAACTCGCGAACGATAGGAACATCATGAGGTGTCCGCGCTCTCTGAGAATCCTCAACAAGACTTACCAGGTAACCCTGGCAGCTGCTTCGTCGCAATAGCTTAGTGGCTTTCGCCATCGATATAACATGCGGCAAGGAACGGTTCTTGGAGCCGAAGAAAGTAATCGACTCATCTCCCGGAAGATAGAAAGTAATCTCCCTGTCATGGCACCTGATATCAGCATGATAGAAAGAAAGCCAATCCATCCCAAGAATAAGATCGAAATCCTTCATCTCGAGAACGAACGCTTCGGCGGTCAATACACGTCCACCGATGGAAAGGCTAAGGTCTGTAGCTTTGGCTGAAGTCACTATCTTTCTTCCCGAGGCTAAACTGACCTCGAGAGGATCGACAGCGGTGACTGCATGAACCCCGATGGCGTCGAGACACCGTCGGGAAATGAAGGTGTGCGTGGCTCCGGTATCAAATAGAGCGAATACAGGAACATCATTAAGAACGATCCTCCCGGACATTGTACCTGGTTGCTGTGCTGCCTCTGCCTGGTCGACCGCATAAACCCTGGCCTGTTGCCTGCCTCTCTGCTGCTGCTGCTGCTGCTGCTGCTGCGGTCTCTGTGCCTGCTGTCGCGGCTGCGGTGGCTGTGGCTGCTGAGGCTGCTGCTGAAGCTTCTTCGGGCAACGACTCGCAAAATGTCCCGGCTCCTGGCAGAAATAGCAAATATCCTGTCCGGCACGACACTCTCCCCTGTGAAGACGGCCACAAGTCGGGCATGGTGGAATCTGCCTCTGTCTCGTCCTCCGGTCTGCCTGTGCACCCTTCGCCTTCTTCTTCTTGTCCTTTGCTGGCTGCGGAGCTGGTAGAGCTGGTGGTACTGCAACGGGCTGAGCAGGGACAACTGGCTGAGTACGATCACGAACGGCCTCCCTCCTAATGCTCGCATCAACCTCC